AGGGAGAGTTCTTGGATCCTTCCCCCCTCCCCACTATGTCATTTCTTAGAGAGAGAGAGAGATGTCGAACCTGCTGGATATGATGATTATCCAAAATCACCCGCATAAAGAAAATCCCATATTATACGAGATTGAGATTGATATTGATAAGTTTACTAAATAAAATAGAAATCCAAAAAAGTTAGGACTCTGGGATATATCTTTTGGTTCTTGAGATATATGTAACACTTATATGAAGTTTTCTATTTGGTGTGGACTCCTAACCTTATATATATAGGATGAAAGTACAGAGAATTCGTTTGCCCAATTTGGGTCACCATATGGGAAAAGTGGCTTCCTCTAAAGGAAAAGGCAGGCTTCCGTAGCATCGACAAGGTCTCCTCTTAGAGAGAAGAGGGCTTCCTACAGAGAGAAATGCGTCCTATTTGGGTCACCATATGGGAACAGGCGACTTCCTCTAAAGAGAGAGGTAGGGTTTCCTCAGCATCAACAATGCTTCCTCTTAGAGAGAAGAGAGCTTCCTAGAATGAGAAATGCCACGGATGTGCCTCCTGTAGATTGAGAGGTTAGTTTCTTGTAGAGAAGCAAGCGGTTCCCATGAAGATTTTGGGTGGTTTCCCATTTTAGTGAGAGAAAGTCTCGTTAGCTCTTAAGGTTCTCCTCCTGGACAGTGGTTTAGTCGTGGAATGGAGATGGTCTTTTCTTGGATAGTGATTTAGCTGTGGAACCGAGATGAGAAGTCGATGATGGTGCCGATCAGGAGACTGGGTCTAAAAGTCTGTAATGTCCCAAAGTTGTAGAGTTTGGACCGAGTCTAAAAGTTTAGACTGGGTCTAAAAGTCTCGACTGGGTTTTTGTCGAGAGTTATAGATGTAACTCTATGTTCCAAAGTCTGTAATGTAACTTTCATTGGTATAATAGATTTCAGTTTACCGTGCCCGTGGATGTAGCCATCTTGGGGTGAACCGCGTAAATCTCTGTGTTCTTGTGGCGTGTGTATTTCATGCTTTATTTCTCGTATTATGGGTCGTGCTATCTCCTATTTTGTTTCTAACCGAATAAGTTCATGATTTTGGTAGGATCCAACTCTTGAATTCTTGTTTCCGCAACTAAGAGGGTTATTAAATCCTAACAAAACCAACCAAGAAGTGGAAATTGTGATTTGGGTATAAGGGGTGGAAAAGTATACCAAAGACTATTTACTTTTGGTATAAGAAGGTCACAATACTTTTATCTATCAAATTTCAGATCGGGTGGCTATAAGGGTGTCATTGACTAGCCCAATTCACATTTAATCACTAGAAGTAATTATGATCTCATTATAATAAAAGATAAATGGTTTTATATTATACAATCTCGTGAGCTTGGTGGTTAATTAGTATTTATTAGTAGTTATTTGTCAAATATATCAAGCATAACACTAAGACTAGGTGCCAGTAAAGAGTGAGAAAAAAATGAGTTGGAGTGTGTACTTCGATTCTCCCGACTATGGAGGGACTACATACTATGTATGCTCACTACCATCCAATCATTATCATCACCAAAGCTTTTTCCTAGCTAATTGAGGTCAGCTACACGAATTTTAGTCCGCCATTCTGCTCTATTAAGAGTCATACACTCAGTGAAGCTATAAATCCCCATATCTTTTCTCACTATTTCCAACCATATCTTTTTGGGTCCAACCCTTGCCCTTTTTGAGCCGCTCACTACCATCCAATCAATGATGGAAAATAGAGAGGGGGACCAACCATTGGAGTCATCTCATCTAATCTTCTGGTGGGTCCTTTCTCTGTCACCGTGCATTCATTGATTGGATGGTGATGACCCTATACACTATGATGAGATTTTAGGACGTCAAGCGATACACTTGTTCCTATGCCATCCATCTTCGACAATCTATCTCAGAAATGGATATTCTATCGAAAATTTCATAAATAGACAAATCTCAACCACTATGTCCATTAACACAAGACAAATGAATTGCCTTAAAAGTAGTCTATTTTGAACCTTTTTTTTCTTTTAACCATTAATTTTACTTCTTCGTAGATTGTCAAATCTGCACTGTATTTGCAGCCGAATCTAGAGGAATCAATGGAGGAAATGTATTTCTAGATATTTACAGTATGTTCCATATTCTAAATCCATGGAAAACCAAAGTAGACTCATGTTTATGTGGATATACAACACTTTTTGTATGCATTATGATCTTTCCATAATCCATGGGATTATGGCCTACTTTATATATTAGGGTATTTCTCACGCCGCCATGTATGCACGCATAGATTGTTATAATAGCTATAGACACAGTTATCATTATGAATAAAAGGAATGTATATTATACAAGTGTTTACCTTTGGTACAAAAAGGTTATAATCATCTTTAGCTATTAGAAGTGAAATCAATAGGTCGGGTATGTCACAATGTTCAAGAAAAATTTTTAACACCATGAACCCAGTTAATGATACCCAACTACCCGATTTTACATCTAAAGCCTAAGAATGAATGTGACCTTCTTGTACAACAAATAAATAGTCATATTTTGGACTTTCCGTATTTATAAAATTAAAATCTTGAAGTGTTTCATATGTCATTTGTAGGAAATGGAATTAAGTGGAAGTGGGATAGGAGCAAGGATTGGTGTGGCACAATATGCAGCAGATGTGAGATCACTGCATACAATTGTGCTAGATATTTACAAAGGTTTCAACACTAAGCCATTAATGATAGCACCAGGAGGCTTCTTTGACATGAATTGGTTTAGTGAACTTGTCTCTAGAACAGAGCCCCACTTGGGGATGTGATCACTCACCATATATGTAATCTTGGACCAGGTAATACTACTTCAACTCAAATGCTTTCTGCTCTTCGCTTATTATATCATGGTTTAGTCCTCACCCCTGCCACAATTTAGAGCAAACTACACTTCTTAATGGAAATATCTTGTCCAAAAAAAGTTGGTCATACTGTGTCACGGTTGTTTTATACTGCACTCATTTCTCAAATCATGTTGCTCATCTTGAAGATCATGCAGAAAAGATTTGATTTGGAGTTTACAAAATGCTTGGAATCAATTTATTCTCTAAGAGCAACTTTGAATTCATGCTCTAACAGCAACTTTGGGCTGTAGATTTGCTTGATGCAGAGATCTAGAGTTTCAAAAATTCAGAATTTTTTGCTTTTCTTGAATTGTTCAGATGGTGAATAAAAAATAGTGTGAATTTTCAGGTACAAAAAATCCCGCTAACATGGTGTTTAGGGAATTGATCGTGTGCTGTATGGATAACCATGTCAATTGAGAGTTTTCCCTTTCTTGTTTCCTTAAAACTGAACTCTCATCCTCTATGTACGTGACGATGAGCATTTAGTAGAGGAGATCCTGGATCCTTCTTATCTAGATGGAGAGGCTAACGCATTCTGTAGCCCTCAAAAAATCCTTTGAAGTTCTGAAACCAAGCAAAGTATTGGGCTGGTGAATCTGGGGTGTGGATCACGGCGGGGGCAATCTTGTTTCGAATGCATTTGTTAATAGCTTTTGGTAACAGTTTAGCTCTTGTTAATTTCATGTTTCTATCACCTTTTTCTCTTAACACATTTAATGTGTGTATTGGTTTCTTTTATCCCTACGTTCTTGTCACAATTTCATTAACAGGTACCTAGATCAGCTCGCAATGGCTGCAAATTTTGATACCAAGGTTTATTGCAGACAGAGCTTGATGGGTGGATATTATGGCCTGCTCAATGCAACCACTTATTTACCAAATCCCGACTATTACAGGATACATTTTGTTGTGCTAATTAAAATCAAGTGATCCCTGATCTAACTTGAATCTCACTGATTTGTTGTAACATAGTTATTGGGATTTGCAAAAGTCAAGTATTTCTTTTGCCAACTTGGCATTGTTAACTTGATAGTCTCTATGTTATTGCAGTTCGCTCCTCTGGCACAAAGTGATGGGAGCCAAGGTTCTCTCGACAAGCTTCTCTGGGATGAGAAAAATTTGAGCATATGCACACTGTGCTAAACATTCAATGCGGATTACTTTTTCTCTCCATTGGTGTGTGTGCCTCTTGTTTATCAGCAACATGTGTTTTTGGTCAATGCCTGTTTTAGCACCGCAACTAAATGTGGTGTTCTGCTGGTAGAATGAAAATTGATATCTTCAGTTTTCTTCTGAAACAAAGCAGAGCATCGAGTGTGCCCACCACAAGAATGGGGTACTAAGAGAACAAAAAACACAAATTTGGCATCATCTAACATGCCGTTCCAACAGTGCCAAAACATGTTTTGGGTGGAATCCGGACTAGCCTTTAATTTGCAATGATACTCAAAATAGTGGAAGAAAACAAAAATGCTAAAGAATAAGGGAGATTAAAGACAAAGTACTAGCAAGAGAGAACTCCATCTGACTAGGGGGAAACTTCAATGATGATTAATTTCCTTCACAAAACCTTTAGAACCAAATATATAATGCCTCCTTGTGTTCAGATACCAAGTCCCCCAACTGTTCAAATTTTCCTATTCCTATTTTACTGAAGACTTTCAAGAAACTTCCTTTCTAATTCTACTCTTAAGTCTCACCTAATAGAGTAATAAATTCTCTAAGTAACCCATTTCCCAAATGACTCTTAAATGCTCTTATAAATTTATGAAAGACTACCACAAAATCTCTGAACTTTTTAATTTATTTACAACTAAAAAAGAGAAAAAAGGGAAAATTGAATAAAAATTTATCAAAAGTTTCATCTCTAGACTTAAAGCATGAATTAAGAAAATTCTATAAAATAGTGGTCAAAATCTTGAAGAGTCATATGAAATGAGCTTTGGAGCATCAAATATGGAGATGTCAGCTAGAAGTTATGTATGTATTGAAAGCCGACTGCATCACCAAGCCTTGTTAGTGTATGGGCATCCCTAAGCTGAGCATTGCCCTTGATGCATGACTACTGTCCTTGTATTTGCAATTATTAGCATTTCTAATCCAAGTATTCATTAAGCTTATCTATTCTCTTGCCATTTTTCAGGAGGGGATTGCTGTGCTTTTGATCAACCTTGATGGCAACACCACAGTGCACTTCCGTGTCACCATCAACAAGCACTTAACATTAGCTCTGAATATGGAAATGTGTCTCCTCAAACAAACTTCTTTAAGATGACGCGAATGCAAGAATCTAATGAAACAACCAGGGAAGAATATCATCTCACTGCAAAAAATGGAGACTTGCACACCCCAACCATGCTTTTTAACTGGAGAACTCTCACTCTAGATCCACAAGGTGGACTACCTTCGATGGAGCCTATAAGAGTAAGCTCTCATGGATCCATTACTGTTGCCCCATATTCCATTGTGTTTATTCACATGGCCTATATCTATGCCATTGCTTGTGGGTAGTGAAAGTGGCATATGTTAGAATTTGAGTTCATATTTGAGATTTCAATTGGTTGTAAGCTGTAACAAATGTGAAATAAAGTTTATGCAAAAGATCCCCAGTGGGGGCTTACCTGATTAATAGGTGAGCATTGTACATGCACTTATTAACTTATTTGGGTTGGTGTATCATGCTAGCATTTTTGTTTTAAACACCTGCTAGAACCTTTTCATCTGTAAGATCACACGCACACGCGTGCATAAAAATGTCAAATGGAGAACCCACAATTTTTCATAAAAGAGATTTTTCAGGTAGATCACAGGGGGAAGGGGGGCCTTGTCTATGGAAGGAATCAAACTCAAGACGTGGCCACCCTATCTTTGCCTTGAGCCCATCTCTTAGGCTTCGCCTTAATGGTAGACATATTGGTTGGGGTGAGGGAGATCGAAGCTTCAAACTTCTTTTGAAGCTCATCTTGGAAAACCCATGCAAGCTGACTCAGTTTTTTTTTTCTTCAAAAACGAAAGGATAAAGTTTCTATAGGGCCTAGGCTTTATGAAAACAAAATAAACCCTCACTGCAAATCCTCATCCGTAAAGCACTTTGGGCACTAGAAATCTTCATGATGGTTATAAAATCAATTTTCAATACTGAAAATAAAATTTGAAACACAAAAAATGATGCAGATTTTGTGGATCGCCAACACTTATTTAGAGGGAAATGGATGGCTTGGATGATTTGTTCCAATATACACTATTTTTAGAATTTGAAATCCAGATTTTTTTCACAACCATAATGTTCAAGTTGAGATGATCGATTTAAAGGTTCTTCAACACTTGGATTGCAAATTTTAATGAGTTATAGGGTGAGGCTTTGCTTATTTTGATAGGGATATCAAGCCATTTTCCAAAAAATAAAAGATGAGATTGTCTACAAGAGGCCATTTATCTTTGGGAAAAGTTTATATAAAGCCGAGGCTCTAAACAATCAAATTTGAGCCTACCTAAAAAATTTCATTAGAAGAGGTTGTTTTGATGTCCAAATATCTTCAAATCGATCATCTCGACATCAAGATGCATGGACATGAGAAAAAAATGGATTTCAAGTTTTGAAAGTAGTATATTTTGTAATGCATTTTTGGGCCGTCAATCTTTAAGATTTTCAAGTTTTTATAGATCTGTCGATCTACACTATTTTTGAAGCTTTAAATTTTATAAATAAATATAAAAATATACTTTAAGGCTATTACAAAGATTTCCAATATGGAAACCACATTTCTCGATACTATTTGAAGGTCGGCTCTAATTTGATTGTTTAGAGCCTAGGCTCCATATAAACCGCAGTTTTTATATTTTGTACATAGAGGCCATAATCATTTTTGTCCCTTAAATTTTAAAATAAGTAGTTATAAGAGTGTCGTTGAATAGACACAAAGTTTAAAAAATGACACACTATCTCAAAGTTGAAAAAATTATTACGGATTTTGAATTAGATTCACATCTTTTACACTTAAAAATGATTATAACCTCTCTATACAAAAAAAATAAAAAATCTTATTGTGTAATTCCTTTCTATATAAACCTTGAGAATTTAACATGTTTCTTACATCTAGAAACATTTAACATGTCTTTTCCCATCTGTCGAACCTTGATAGGTTGTGCTGCAGAGGCTCACCAGAATGCAGCTGTTTCTTCCTCAATCTCCGACGTCCATCCACAATGGAATGTGGGCACAAGTACAGCACGGTCGATATTAGCAAATGTTGTATATTTCTTATAAATGGTAGAATTTTTATTACTATTTTATTGGACAGGTGGAATCTATGCAAAGGGGTACAATATTAGAAGAATCCTAAGCCAAGAGTTGGCCCAATAGAAACAATGGAAATATAATAATAAAACAAATAATATAATGGCATACAAAAAGTCCAAATTGAAAGTCTCCACAAAGACACCACCCCTACTAACACCTGCAAAAACAACCTAACCCCTAAACTATTGTAAAAAACCGGTTGAGCTTGCCTTCACAAAAAACCATAATGGCTATTTAAACCTTCTATTGTTCCCCTTTGACCACTTTTTTAATTCAATTTCGCTTAATTTAATGGGTGAGATTTGTATAAGGTACCTCCCTTATACTAGTAGGTGCACCATTAAATTTTGTTGGAATAGATAGTACTGGTGATGGAAAGATTAAGATGGTTTGAAAATTTTTGTTCAATTTTAATTATAAAATTTTATTCTAATGATGGTGTAAATCTCGGAGATTTATAAATACTTGAAGATCTTAAAAATAGATGATCTAAATAATATATTATTTTTAAGATTTGAAAAAAATCTTTTCTTTATATTCATACATCTCAAAGTTGAGATAATCCATTGAAACGTTTTCAACTTTAGAACACTTTTTTGCAACCTCATATAAACTTTTTCCTAATTTGACTGGCTTTACAATCTTACAATGGGGCTTTGTGGGGACTTTGGGCAACCAAGTTCTTACTGATCAATGCAGACATTGCTATTGGTTTTGATACCTCAACTATGGATGGCAATATGAGAAATCCAAAAGGCAATAAATCCCTTAGAATCTTTCCCATACTTCCCTCTCTCTCATCCACCACAACCCATCTTGCACCTTGCAACCTGGGGTCTTTTTCTCTCTCTATCTATCTACTATACAAGCG